CAACCGCAACGACGAAAGCACGTACGTTGTATTCGATATCAAGGACCTGGAGAAAATTGTCATCGACAACGATCATTTCGCACAGTGCAAGATCTACATCAAAGACATCCGAGATGTTGACGAATCACTTCTGAACAACGGAGTGGTCGACATCGCTCTCATCGACGCCCCGGGTCTGAACGCCGACTCTCTCAAGACCACCGCCGTGTTCGCTCGCCAAGAAGAGATTGATGTCGTCGTCTTTGTCGTTTCTGCTGCGAATCACTTCACCGAGTCCGCTAAGAACTTTATCTTCACCGCAGCGCGCGAGAAGGCATACATGTTCATGGTAGTCAACGGCTTCGATACCATTCGCGATCAGAACCGTTGCCAAGAGATGATCTTAAAGCAAGTTGCTAACCTCAGTCCGGCCACCTTCAAGGAGTCCAGCGAGCTGGTACATTTCGTTTCTAGTAACGCCATCCCCATGGGTGCAGGTGGGAGCCCCCCTGATGACGATGGTGACGACGATCCATCCGACAAAGGAAAGGGCAAGGAGGCAGAGAAGCAGCGCGACTTTGCCGATCTTGAGGCTTCGTTACGACGTTTCGTGCTGGAGAAGAGGGCCAGGTCTAAACTTGCACCCGCAAAGACTTATCTTCTCAACGTACTAGGAGATATGAACAACCTAGCCACAGTCAACCGAGATGTGTCTCAGAGCGAATTGGACCGCGTCAAGAAGGAGATCGAAGCGCTCGAGCCTGAGTTTGAAGAGTCCAAGAAGTCACGGACAGAAGCTGGAGAGGCAGTGGATCGCATGGTTGAAGATACGACGTCAGACGTCTATGGCTACACTCGAGACACGCTCAACAACTGCATTGCCAGAGTAGCTGAACAGGATCTTGGCATCGATTACCCTGGTCTGTTCTCAGCATACCAGTACGCTGAGGACATCAGGGACTCGATGCTCCACGAGGTCACTGAAAGCGTCCGTTTGTGTGAAGAACACGCTCGAACCCAAGCTGTGCAGGGCTACAACGGCATCAAAAACTTGGGTGTCCTACATCTTGGCAACAACTTGTATGCCGACGTCATGTTCCGTCCGGAGAGGATGTTCAGGAAGTCAGTGCACGCTCTTGCTCGACAAGTGGATATTGATATTGATCTGTGGGACTTCTTCGACATCGCCAGTCTGTGGGAACGTCAGGAGAAGGCCGCTGGTGCCGGTATGGCCATGACTGTTGCCGGCGTAGTAGGTGGCAGATTGGTCGGCGGTGTCGGCTGGGTAGACGGTGCTCTTGGTGCTGCAAAGGTCATGGGCACAAGCAACATGAGGAGACTGATAATCCCTGGTCTCATCGCTGGTGGTAAGTCAATCGTACGAGTATGAAATGTTCTATGCTAATATCAGCAGTCGCTCTCGGAGTATCATACGTACTGGCGTCCGTGCCTAAATCACTACCTCACAGACTTAGCGCGAAGCTATCTCAACAACTAGCGGCGATCGATTACACACACTCCAACGCCCTTCGCATCAGCTCCGAGGTTCGGCGCGCACTCAAAGGCCCTGCTAACGATGTACGCATCGGTCTGCAGAGGAACGTCGAAAAGCTCCAGCTCCAGAAGGAGGAGACAACCAAGCTCAAGGCGGAAACTGAAGTTGCACGCAAGTACTTTGGCAACCTTGTCCGCAGCAGCAACGACTTGCGCCAGACGGTCCAACGCGTTGACCTGGAGGCAGCGCCACCAGTGATTGGCGGACCGATGCAGTAGATGCAATTTATGTCTTTATGCTATTTGAAAGAGTCACGGCTTATGCGTATGAAGAAAAGGTTCAAGCATGGAGGCGTTTGCAGGTGTTAGGATAGGTCACGACGAAGTAATCTTGCTCGTTTTCCCGGTGTACATACAATTGACCCAATACCCCTCTTGCCCCTTTGGTCGAAATCGATAGATATATACCCTAGAACTCTGAATAAGTGACTTGAATATGGTGGTGAAAGCTGGATTTTGCCAAGCTGTCGTGTTGGACCCTGAACGTTGACGCCTGTCGACCTCGGATCTGCGCACGTCATCTCTCCAACGCTACCTAACGTTGCATACCCTACTTCCAGCATACCCGCTCCATGGCGGCTCATGCACGCCCGGAACCACCCTGATGGAAACCAGAAGAGACCCGAGATCCTTTCTCTTCTTCATAATCCTCTTGCTGCTCATCAACTCGCCCGAACCGCAACAGCCGACATTCAATGCGCGCACACGCTACCGAGAGCTCATCGAGCGCGAATACTACCAGCTAGATCTCTTGAATCGGACGCGATACGGCGACTTCAGCGAGAAAAAGGACAAGTGGCTGAATATCACTGGGCTGAGGGATGAAGATGGCTTTGCATGGGAGCTACTGGACCCTGTGAGGCAGAAAGCAAAGGCGCAGTCAGAGCGCCTTCTAGGAGATGGGTGGAAGGGTATGCTTGATGGCTCACTGCAAGAGGGAGAGGCTACTATGCCGGTATACAAGAATCTATCTGGTTACGTACAAGGAGAATGGACGCGCTCGCCGCTGAGTCGCATACGGCACCCCGGCGATATGGGCAATGCCTCGGCCATCCCCGATCCCTTTGGAAATCTGGTAGAATATGACAGAAACCTAACCGGTGCAGGCGGGCCGTTGCGAATGCACATTACAGAGCTGGAAGATAGGATGCGGAGGAATGAGAACAAGACCATATCCGAGATCAGCGCGAAAGTGATTATTGGAGACAAAGACAGCTTTGGAGGGAATTGGTGGGAATTTGTGGCACATGGTATCCATTTCATGAAAAGCGGGACTGCGGTTCTGACTACTACGAGCGATCGGTTCGCGGGCATCTTCGCTTTGCCTCACCTGCAGGTCACGCCCTATTTCTACTCAACATCGCAAGAGTTCCTGAACTGGACCATACATGAGACTATTAAACGGCAAGAGAAGAGAGCTTTCCCGCTCTGGAATCCCTGGACATCTGCTGCAGAAGGCAACAATGAGGGCATGTTCCAGGGACACCATTGCGAATTCGTCTTGTATCTTCAAGAGTTCCCAAGTCAATCTAACGTCGACATGGACTGGCTCGAGCACGAGCTCCGGTTTCCTACTGGAGCTCCTGTCCCTCACGATGTTCCACATGCCATGTCCATGGTGGGCTTCTCGCCGGATTGCGGTTTCGTTATTGAGTCAAAGGGTCCTCCAGACTTTCCGCCATCGGAGGCTATGCATCTGGTCGGTTCTAAGACAGAAGACTTCAATGTTCGCGCTAGACACGGTATCCTGGCTTTCGCCATCAGTCTTGCGTTCCAGCTTTCCTTCACTCTCAAGCAGATGAAGGAGACAGCAACGCCATCAATGCGGAGTCGAGTCAGCTTCTACACCATTGCTATGATGACTCTGGGCGACGGCTTCACATTTCTGATCCTCATCTTCATGTATTTCTTCCTCGGTACAGCACAGTTGGCGCTGTACAGTATCGCATTCATAGCGCTATTTTCCGTACTGACCCACCTCCGCTTCCTGATGGACATCTGGTCCGTACAAGCAGCGGAGAGGGCGCGTCAGGAGCGGCAACGAACTCCAGCGGCTACCACAACGACGCCGGCTCCAGCTCCCGAGGCTGCTACTTCAGCACCATCTGCCGATGCCGGTCTGCCCTTGCCAGCAACCGCCGCTCGACCACCACGTCCACCTACTCCCATCATCATTGCACCAGATCAAGACGATCCGGATGAAGATGTCACACCAGGTCCGAACAATGCGCCCACGCCGACCAATGCCACGACAACGAACGCAAATCCGCGAGCTGAGCTTGGTGCATTGTATAGCCGCTTCTGCCTTATGCTTATAGTCCTGTTCTTTGTGACTATCCACTTCGGTACTGCTCGCACGACATATCGTGCTGTCTATTTCGACGTCATGACGTTTCTCTACCTGTCTTTCTGGATACCGCAGATCTATCGTAATATCATGCGCAACTGTCGGCGAGCATTACGCTGGGATTATGTTGCTGGAACAAGCATAGCCCGCATCGCGCCTGTAGCATACTTTTACATGAAAGAAGACAATGTCTTGTTTTCAAGAACGGACTGGAAAGCCATGGGCTTCTTGGCAGGCTGGGTATGGATGCAAGTGGTGGTGTTGGTGAGCCAGGAGGTTCTCGGCCCACGATTCTTTGTCAGAGACGGATGGGCGCCGCCAGCATACGACTACCACCCCATTCTACGCGAAGACGAAGAAGGCGCAACCATGCCGCTCAACATCACGACTTCGTCGGAATCACCATCTACAATTGATGCTTCGGCAGCAGAGGGTGAAACCACCAAAGCATCAGGCGAGTCCAAATCCAAAGGCAAGAAGGTTTTCGACTGCAGTATCTGTGCCAACGACATTGAAGTACCAGTCATACCTGCTGGAGCTGATGAGAGCAGTGTAGCTGGCATGGGTGGGACGAGCATGATTTTGCAAAGGCGACAGTACATGGTGACGCCTTGTCGACACATCTTCCACACTGGATGTCTCGAAGGGTGGATGAGGTATCGATTGATGTGTCCAAACTGCAGAGAGAGTTTACCGCCGTTGTAGATGAAGTGATTCGAGTACAGTCAGATTTTCCCTGCATCGGGAGTATTTTCCAGGCTACCTCTGTGTCTGCCACGCATGAGTGACGCATGTCTCACTGTCCGCGTAACAAGTGGGTCATTTAGCGCGCCTTGCAGCTCCACCTTCGGAAGTGGAAGCGTAACGGCCACAAGCTCCAGGGGTAGTCCGTTCTGTACCGCGCGCAGTCAGACAAATATAATGTGAAATGCAATATAGATGCGCAAATTCAAACATTGCCACTTTCTGCGTCAACTCGACGCACATGTCGGTGATTTCAGCGAGCACGGCACTTATTAATAGTACCTCTACGCCACAGATCGACGCTTAGTCGCTAAGGGCACGCATCCCTACCGGTCCACAGCTGGGGCTGAGCTGCGCATCCATCGCTTTCTGAGCCCTGGCCTTGCATACGCAAACCACAACTCTCAGCCTCTCAGGCTACACATTCGCTTCTGTGCTGCATTTGTGTTCTGCGTTGGCATATAATAACGGTGCCTCGTTTCCAAGTAACTGCTCTTATCCTCTTCCGCATTTCCGAGACACCGAACGACCCCCTGGACTTGTACAAAGCTTGTTCGCAGCCGCCCTCGTTGCCTGCCCCAGCTTAAGCAAGGCCAAACCCTTCGTCTACCCCACAGCTCATTGTTGTACATAACCGACCTCGCCTACACCACGCCCGTTGGCACAGCGCATTACCCCTACTACAGAGCGCATCTAGTTGTGCAACCTGGCGACTTCCTAATACCACTACCAGCGCTTGCCTATCATGGCGGCCAACGACTACTACGGCAACTCCCACCCGGGGCAGTCGAACGACAGGAACGATGCGCCTCTGCCTCCAGTACCCGGCAACCACACACAACACTCCGTCTCGCCCGTCAGCTCGCCCTTTGACGACCGACCCTATCCCACACACACAGCCAGCAGCGGTGCGCTCGGCGGCTACCCCATCGATACATCGTATTCAAATACCTCATACCAACCTCCGACACAGTATAGCTCGACCGCACATATCAACGACCCGTACGCGCGGCAGCCAGACCCCTTCGCCGACCAAAACGCGATACCGCTTCAGACACAGCCGAAGATGGATGGCAGCAGTCCGACACGGTATAATGGCGACCCAGAGTACTACGGCATGGGCGTGGAACCCAAGAGGAGAAAGAGTAAAAAGAAGAAAGGCTGGTTCAGTGGCAGAGTGACGTGGGTAGTCTATCTTCTTACGGCGGTGCAAGTTGGCGTGTTTGTTGGGGAGTTGATCAAGAATGGTATGTTGTTACAGTACAAACATATCTGGAGACGTAGACATTGACTGACAGCGTATAGGCATCTTGACAGGCAGCCCCATCCAAACCAAGCCAAACTTCAACATCATGATCGGTCCTTCGCCCTACGTTTTGATCAACATGGGCGCGCGCTTCACACCCTGCATGCACAACATCAAGAAAGTTATCGAAGCCGATGGTGGGCCCGTCCTTCAATGGCCATGCCCGAATACCACCACCCTTACCGATAACAAGTGCACGCTGGCTGAACTCTGCGGCATGGGCGGTGGTGTCCCCAACCAAGAGGGTATCACAGACTTCAAGGATAGAAGCCACGAGCCGAACCAATGGTGGCGCTTCATTACTCCTATATTTCTGCACGCAGGAATTATTCACATCGGCTTCAACATGCTTCTACAGTGGACACTAGGTCGAGACATGGAAAAGGAAATTGGTCCCCTCCGGTTCGCACTCGTATATTTCTCCGCCGGTATCTTCGGTTTTGTGCTCGGTGGCAACTACGCACCCGATGGTATCACTTCTGTTGGTGCTTCCGGATCCCTCTTCGGTGTCTTAGCTCTCACCATGCTCGATCTCTTATACAACTGGTCCACCCGCCGCAGTCCGGTCAAAGACCTACTCTTCCTCCTCCTCGATATGGCCATCGCGTTCGTCATCGGTCTACTCCCCGGTCTAGACAACTTCTCCCATATCGGAGGCTTCCTCATGGGAATCGTTCTGGGTATTTGCATCATCCATTCACCCGAGTCGCTGCGCGCAAGAACAGGCCAAAGCGAACCGCCGTATGCAACAGTGGATACTCAGCCCCTCGCCCACGAGCCGGTTGCTACAGAATCCAAAAGCAAGATTACCGCTTTCGCCAAACAACCAGTTGGCTTCTTCAAAGGTCGCAAGCCACTCTGGTGGGCGTGGTGGCTTGTACGTGCTGGCGGTCTGGTAGCAGTCTTTATAGGCTTTATCCTGCTGCTGAGAAACTTTTACGAATGGAGGAATACTTGTAGTTGGTGCAAGCATTTGTCTTGCTTGGTACGTGTATCCTTGTATGTTACCCTTGAAGAGTACAGATTGCTAACTTTACCCTAGCCCATCACTACAAAGGGTGTGTCGTGGTGTGATATGGGTAGTCTGAACCTTACAACGACCGAGACTCCTAGCAAGAGGAGTTTAAATCCGGCAAGCCTGGCTCACTTTATGGGCGAGGCGACTGTTGGACGGATACTGTAGAGGGGAGAGCATCGATAGATGAAGTGAATGAGTTGGTTCTTGAGCACAAAGATTTCATCAACGGTCTGGCATACATGGGACGCAAAGCATAGATACCACATACCAATATTGAAGGATTGCAATACTTTCCTACCAGTAACTTTTTCCACGCTGTTGTGATAATTCTCCATAAAGCCAGTGAATGTGTCATGCACTTGCTATCATTGCCCACCAAAGTCCACCCAGAAGTATACACCGCCCACGAGAATTAATCCCTCTTGTCATGAACAACCGAGCCCTCGTTTACCACTGTGACTTCCTGGGTATACCACCGATCTGTACGGCCGAGTGTACGGGATTCTTCCAGTCCGGAGGCGTAGTGACGGTATACTGCAGATAACTAGCAACAGGCGGCTTGTACATCTCCATATGCCCAGTCTCCGCATTCCTCCGCAAGGTGGGTCTGGTGTTGAGATGATCAGGGCGGATCTTCTCTTGTACACCAAGGAAGCCACCGGACATCCTGTCGAGGAAGACGCCAAAGTTATCAGTATGGTTGATGGTACATTTAGAGCCATGGGATTCGCAGTGAGCCATGAGAGCGGTGGCAGACTTGAAGTACTTGAGGCATTTGGGGCACTTCACGCGTGTTATACGGTGGTCGACGAGAATGTGGTTGTTGAGATCTTGGCGGATGTCAAAGTTTTGCCTATTACTACGTTAACGATGAAGCAGTAAGAAAGCCGGAGAAGAGAACTTACTCGCAGACGAATGGACAATAGTACTTGTTGACGATTGAGTCGTAGAACCTCTCTGGGTTCCAGTCGGAACTCATCGGATCCCAGAAGCGATCACGAAAGAGATTGGGACCATGTGCATGCTCCATAGCCTCATCGTGTGCAGAGACAGAGAATTCACTGGGAGGAGCTTTGGGTTTGGCGTTCGGAAACAATATAGAGCCTGTTGATTTGCCCTTGCGAAGGCCCCAAACCTTGGTCTCATGATTGGACGAAGAAACACTGGAGCCCTGAACCTCAGAACCATCATGAACGAAAGAGCCATGCTGACTCTGGATAGCGTCGCGTCCGAAAGGTGATGGGGAGATCGTTGGGAAATTGGACGCAGCAGGAGATCTGATGACCGTTGAGCCATCAGAGTCGACATCGACGTCTCCATTGAGAGACATGCCGCCTATCATCGATGCAACCTCCATGTCTACGCCCGGCATGAACCCGCTCTGAGTAGGCAGAGGAGGGTAGTGACCGCTGAAGACCGGAGTGTGTGGCTCTTCTAGGGAAGGATCGGGCTTGATCGCCTCGAATTTGACGTCCTCAATGTCTGCGCTGTCATCGATGGGGTCATCGCTGAGCAGAACACCTCCGACCTCTTCTACGTCGATAGCTGCCTCGTACTTGGACATCTTTTGCTGCAATCGGTTCCATGCTGGACCATCCTCTAGATATTTCTCAACGAGATGCTTATGGACGACGTGGCCTTGGAACTGGGAGGCTTGAATGACCTCACAGTGACCAAACTCGAGGTGCTCGATGAAGAGGCATGCACGGTAGAAGGACTTCTGACAGCCGATGCAGGTAAGCTCCTGATCAACCTTGTGGTTACGCTCAATGTGACGCTTTAAGCCAGACGTGCTCTTGAACTCGTCGCCACAGACGCGGCATGCTTGTCCATGCTCCTCAGGCCGTGTGATCTTGTGCATGGCGTAGTCTTCAAAAGTTTCAAAATCCTCGTCGCACTTGTGACAGTATTCGTGATCGTCAAAGTTCTTCTTGTGGTTCTTCATGATCTTCTCTGTGTCAAAAGACATGTCGCAGTCTGCATACGTGCACTTGACCCGCCTGATGGGTTCGAGTGTGGCTGGCATCTCCGCTCTTTCCGTACGGATAGTTCTTGTGGAATGAGAGAGCTTCACAGCAGATGATTTAGGCTCGTCTGCTAGTCGGATGATTAATACTCAAAGAATCGAGTACTGCAGCGTGACGCGTGTACTTACCTGATTATGCAGTGATACGAGCGATTTTGTGTGAACTGTCGAAGCCTCACCTACTTTGGCGGTTCTCAAGAATTATTATAAACTTGCTACACCGACTTCGGCAGTAGACGGAAACCTCCCGTAGGTACAGTAGTTGTGGAACTTGGGGTAGCCTGGAAGAGAAGCACAGAGAGTGTGGTGTTGACCGATTTTGTGACAAAGACTGAGAGAAAGCTTTGTGTTATCTGGGCGTTTGTGGTGAAGATGGTGGTGTAGAAAGGACAGAAGCTTGTAGTCTAGCGGATTTGAGAGACTGAGGGACAGCTAGTGGTGGGTGTGGTGTGGGGCTGAACTAAGCAAGCATGAGGAATGACAGGTGAAGGAGGGTTCGAGATAGGTAGGCAAGAACGTTGGGTGTGTACTCTCACCCGGGAAGTTGCCATCCTCGCTAAAAACAAACAAAATTTCAAGACAGTAACCTCGATTTGTTTACGCAATGCGATTTTCAACACCAACGACCTCAGACTTCAAAAGCATGAACTGGAGATACCAACCGTCTTCATCTCGATCGATTCGCTGGCTACTCATGCCGTCCGCCATGTATTCTAGGTAAGCTTAATACACTGCCTATGCATGGCACCGAAGCTCATTGAATGATTGTTACTAGTAATGGCATTATGACATAGTTGAAAGAGAGAGAGTAAACTTGATATTGGTCACGAGTTTAATTGCTAATACGATCCACTTAGAATCGCGAATATGGTAGCCTAGATACCGGTCAGTAATACATTCGGGAAAATTCATATGAACATACCATTTGCCCCTCAGTGTAATCTTGGCCCACTCGCCCTTGTCGTCAGTCTCCTTCTCTACCTTTGTACTGAACGAGATAGCACTCATGATGCCATCACCAAACTTCTCGTGCATAACCGCCTTGTATGCCTGTCCATAGTTCTGCACAATCTCATAGAGACGGTAGATGGTGGGGTCCTTTGGTGGCATATCGAGCGTGCTGCCTCGGTTGGGAAAGCCTGACAACTGCGATTCGAGCAGGCCGGCGTCAATCTCCAGGATTTCCGACAGCTTCTTGATATCTTCGGCGGAGGCCATGGCCTGGCCGTAGAAGAGAGCGGCAATTGCAACTTCATCACGTCCGACGTGCTTTGCGATCGCTTCGAAGGATAGGTTCTTCTTCTTTTTTGCTTCGAAGAGCGTTGGAGAGGAAGGTGGAAGGCGAGGGATGAGCTCTTCCTACGAGATTGTCAGCATCTTCCTATACTTCTCCATTCTCTCCTTACGTTCAAAGTTGCAATCGGGTGTTGCGCCATGGCGATAGGCGTTGAGTGGAAGCACCGGGTAGCGGCAAGAGGTACAGCTGGTCGTATGGATCCCAATGTACGAGAGGCCAATCTGGCAGAAGTTGCAAGCCGAGAAGAGAGGGCCATCGTCAAAGATATGTCGAATTGGATAAGAGGTTATGTCAGTGGTGTTGTGTAACGGCGTGGGGAGATAAGATGAGGAGCTCTCCAGCTGCCGAACAGCTTAAGCAGACAGCCGATGATACAAGGGTACGTCATACATATGCGCTGCCGCATTCCCATTGCGACCCACAAGTTGTGTGAACCATCGCACAAGCGCTATGTACAGTAAGGAGGACTTCTAGTACCGCTCTCTTCGCGATGCGACATGGTGGGTAGACTGCTACAACCACGCGTCGCGTAGTATCGTGGAGGGCGTCAAGAAGAGGGGGAAGCTCCATAGTGGGGTGTTATGAGGGGTTAGATCCTGGATCCTGGCATCTGGCCAACAGAGGGGAATCAGGGTGCGTGCACTCCATTGGTGTCTGTTTCACATGCTCAGCTCGTATGCTTCCCTGCATTGGCATATGCATGCCCCGTTTGCCGCTGATGATGACGCGGGGTCATCGCGACCTCGAACTCCAGCTCCGGAGCTTTACTTGACAACATTCCATAGACTTCACACCTTCTGCGCGACTGGCAAACAACCGAAAGCTTCAGTCCGGCACAATGTCTCGCCGAGATGATGATCTGGCATATGGCGACTACCATGGGCAGGGAGGCGAGGAGGGCGATCGCGGATTTGTAGGTGACATGGGTCGGCGTTTTGGCTTTGGCAGAAAAGAGGTCAGTACATTCTTCTGAAACGCCATGCTGTCATTGTACGCTTCATAGGTATCAAGCTGTTGAGGAAGTGGAATTGCCCCACTATCGATAATCATAGCGCTGAGCTGGCCTCGTCATTCACCATCCTCGCCTATCTTGCGTTTCTATTTCTATTTCTTCACCGCCTAGCTTGCTGCAGGGACGAGACGCGTATCTGGTAGCTTGACTTGGGTCCTCTGATTCCTAACTTTGACACCACAGAATAACCAACACTCATCCTCATCCTCAAACCAGGGCAGCGGCGGCATGTCGTTCTTCAAGAAGATCCACGACCCGCTTCACGGCTTCGTCTCTGACCTCAAGGATGCCATATCCGGAGACGATAACGCGCAGAAGCCTCCGCCAGGTACATACGAACAACAGGGAGGGCAGCCACAGCCCGGGCAAGAGTACCACGAGCAACACCGCTTCTCAAGCTTCGCGCCTGAACGTCATGGCAATGACATCAAGTGGTATGTCGATGGATGCAGGTAAGTCTCAAGTGTCCTCGTGCGCTATAAAACGATCAATTGATATCGGGTAGCTACATGTATGCTGTTTCCATAGCTCTGGAGCGCGCCAGGGAGTCGATATGGATACTTGACTGGTGGCTCTCCCCCGAGCTGTATCTCCGTCGACCGCCAGCGAAGAACCAACAGTACCGGGTCGATAGGATGCTGCAAGCGGCAGCGGAACGCGGTGTCAAGGTCAACATTATTGTATACAAAGAAGTGACCCAAGCTCTGACTCGTAAGTTTTTAAATCCAACGTTACCCGACTATCTTCATTCTCTCCTACCGAGTTCGACGGACAGGTTCACCAAAGGCCTCACGCGAGTCGGCCTAGATGTCATATTCAAAAGTCTTGAAGAGTGGGAAAAGACAGATCCGCTGATTGCCCCTCCTATTACAGTTTCTTCAGCTCATACCAAGCACCACTTGGAAGATCTCCATCCTAACATTGGCGTTTTCCGACACCCCGATCACCTGCCAGATGCAGCAGTACTACAGTCGTCTTTCTTTGCAGCCATGAAAAACATGTCTTTCACCCCAGCAAAACTCGCCCAACTTCCTGGAGACGGTCTCAAGGCCATTTATGGTGCTCACGAGGGCACAGTTATGTACTGGGCGCATCACGAGAAGCTCTGCCTGATCGATGGCCACATCGCGTTCATGGGCGGACTGGATCTCTGCTATGGTCGTTGGGACACCAACCAACACGCAATCGCTGACGCGCATCCTGGCAACATCGACCGCATTGTGTTCCCAGGCCAGGATTTTAATAACGCCCGCATGCTCGGTGAGTCGCTTTTTCTTCGTGTCCCTCGAAATTGGAAGACGACAGATAGGCAGTCACTTGCAAGCTACGTGCGTAAGGGAAGCTGCTAACACCTGACAGACTTCCAGGATGTGACCAATTGGGAGAACAACAAACTCGATAGGACACAAAGCTCTCGTATGGGATGGTCTGACGTGGCTTTGTGTATCTCTGGCCCGGTCGTACAGGATCTTCGTACTCACTTTGCGCAACGCTGGAACTTCATCTATGACGAGAAGTACAGCAAAAAGGCTACTAGATACGCCAGACTACCAGAGACTAGCAGTGGAGCTCAACAGGCTCCCATGCAACAGCGCGGATTTGAAGGCGAAGAGGAAGGCGAACGTGGCTTTGGTCGTGAGGAGGAGGGCGAGCGAGGGCTGTTCGGACACGGTGCTGGTGGACACCTTCGCCAGAAGATGCAGAGCAGGTTCGAACAGTACGGCCAAGAACATGGATCGCAATATGGCCAGCAACAGTCCCACGCGGAACATAGCTCCCAGCAAGGTGGTGTGGATTGCCAAATTACTCGTAGCTCTGCCAAATGGAGCCACAACTTGGTCACTACCGAGGTAAGTGACCCTGTCCACTGGAAAGAGACCGACTGATGAATTTGTTAGCATTCTATCCAAAATGCCTACTGTGAGGTCATCCGAAACAGCAAGCACTTCATCTACATCGAAAACCAGTTCTTCATCACTGCTACTGGCGATCAACAGAAGCCGATCAAAAACAAGATCGGAGCTGCTATGGTCGAACGCATCATTCGCGCTGCACGTAATGGCGAGAAGTACAAGATGATCGTCATGATTCCCGCAGTGCCAGCATTTGCTGGTGACTTGAAGCTTGATGAAGCCCTGGGTACTCGCGCTATCATGGAGTGTAAGTCACATGAATTCTTTCTGCATGTCTTCTGCTGACAGTAGTACAGTCCAGTACGACTCAATCAACCGCGGTGGTCACTCGATCTACGAGGAAATTGCTAAAGCTGGATTCAACCCTATGGACTACATCCGATTCTACAACCTTCGCAGCTACGACCGCATCAACTCTAGTCAGATCATGAAAGAGGCAGAGCAGCGCAGCGGCGTCTCGTATAATCAAGCATCAGAGGGTTACGACGCAGCACATGACAACGCTCGTGGCTACGAGGCTTATCGTCCACCGCCCACGCAGGAGTACGGCGTTTACGAGATGGATGGTTCCGGTCGTCCTCCATCTCACGGCCGACCCGATGCTGGCCCGCAGAGTCAGGGCAGACCAGGTGATTACGATCGCTACCAGCAGGAAGCAGCCAAGATTGGTGGTCGTCAAGGACTCGGCGACGGACGCTGGGACACTGTCAGCGAGTGTTATATGCTTGGTGGCGAAGACATCCGTAGCGTGCCTTGGGAGGGTAGTGCTGCCGATGAAATGGACGCCTTCGTGTCTGAGGAATTGTACATCCACAGCAAGCTTTTGATCGCCGATGACCAGATCGTTATTTGCGGCTCTGCAAACCTCAACGACCGTTCCCAGCTCGGCGACCACGACTCGGAGATTGCGGTTATCATTCAGGACCCTAGGCCGGTCGACTCTTACATGGACGGACGGCCATACCGTGCATCAGAGTTCGCTGCTAGTCTACGAAGAGAACTCTTTAGGAAGCACCTCGGTCTACTGAAGCCTCAGGACATGGAGCGTCCGACAGCCAACTACCAGCCTATCGGTGTTCCCAATGAGTACGACTGGGGCTCGAACGAGGACCGACAAGTCGTTGATCCATTGTCTGATGACTTCCAGAACTTGTGGAACTGGAGAGCGCACACCAACACACAAGCTTTCGGTAAAATATTCCACCCTGTGCCGAGCGACGAAGTCAAGAACTGGAAGCAGTACGACGAATACTATTCCCGGTTTTTCGGACAGGACGAGAAGGCAAAGGAGAACAAGAAGCCTTCCATGTACAAATGGGGCCACGTGGTTGCAGAGAACTTTGGGCAGGGCGAGCAAGGCGTACGCGAGGTCAAGGAGGTGCTCAGCACCATCAAGGGAAATTTGGTGGAGATGCCCCTTCTTTTCTTGAAGGAAGAAGATATTGCGCAGGAAGGTGTGGGACTGAACGCCGTCACTGAGGAGCTTTACACCTAGGTGCCTCGCAAGTAGACGTAGTACCAAAAGAAAAAGCGGATGCTCAATAACGGACTAAGACAATGGCGATATCTATTACCAGTGCATGCGTGAATAACGGTAACAAAGAGGGGAAGAGTGAATTGATGGTGGATCTTGGACCCTGACTAGCTTGATAGCGGCGGGTGCTCGATTAGCGGCGATCGCCCCTGTTCGCATGTGATGTGCCCCAGATTTCCCAGGTTGCGCGAGATCGTTGTGCAAACATCGTGTGTACTTCGTTTTGCGGCGCCATGCCCCGTCTAATGACAGCTCGCAATGCTGTCATACTGGTTAATGTCATACTCCTCACTGCGCTGTTCGTCCATCTCAAGTCTGAGCTCTGGGACAAGAATGCCGCTGCAGCTGGATCGGCCACTCTGACACACCTTCCCGACGAACTCTACGACGAGCAACAGCCGGGCGAGTCATCGCACGACCCGGAAGAGAAGCCGTTAAAGGCCAATACCGGTATCAAAGCGCGTCGGACTGCGGTGGTCGTCGCGAGCCAGAGTTCTGAAAATGCGACGTGGCTAGAGGAGTACTTCCCAGAGTGGGAGAAGAACATCTATCGCGTAGACGACGCGAACGCGCCGCTTACGGTACCCAAGAACAAGGGCAGAGAGAGTATGGTCTATCTGACGTACGTATTGGGTCGCGCCTTCCGTCCTGAATACTTCGCAAGCTAACAGATTCCTGCTCAGCTACATTATCGATCACTACGCGTCGCTTCCCGACAACGTCCTCTTCATCCACCCAAACCGCTACCAATGGCACAACGACGATCCCGACTACGACGGCCTCCCGATGCTCCGCCACTTCCAGTTGCCTTACCTTGAGAAAGAAGGCTACGTGAATATACGTTGCGCATGGTCCTTGGGCTGCCCAAGCGAGATTAAGCCTCTTGCCGAAGAAGGCGAACACAGAGAGGCCGTGCATGCTGGCGGACAATATAAGAAGGCCTTTGAGCAGCTGTTTCCCGGAGACAAGGTGCCAGCTGTCGTGGGCGTGAGCTGCTGTGCGCAATTCGCCGCGACAAGAGAGAAGATTAGGGAGAGAACTAAGGAGCAGTACGAGAAGTATCGCGACTGGATCATGGAGACAGATCTCGGCGATGCTATTAGCGGCAGAGTTTTTGAGTACTCATGGCATAGTAAGTCTATACCCCACCACCCCACGTGATGAGGCTCTGCGTGTCTTTACTTTTTTTGAAGTGGCGTACATCTCATGCTAACACCATTGATAGTCATCTTCGGTAAGCCTGCCGTACACTGCCCAAGCGCTGAAGACTGCTACTGCAAGGTATTTGGCATTTGCAACTTGACATGTCCAAACCAAGGAAGCTGTGAAGGACGATATACTCTGCCACCCTACTCGAGCCTACCAAAGGGATGGCCCTATGTGGGTTGGGAGGGCAAAGAACGCCAGCGCGCTGCTTCTGAGCAGTGATTGACATACCTGTGGGCTTATCTTCAAGCTACTGCGTCTTCTTGGATCGCATGTACGAACATACACATCCACTGGCCGAAGGACTCAGCCGCGACGCTTCACTTTTTCTGTTCCATCCACTGGCATAGTTGGCTATCTCAGCCTGATGCTACGGGACACGACCAGCTCTGGTAATCAGTTGTGTGTGTGTCTGCACACGTCACTACGTGCCACGAAGTTTGCGCTTGACAAGTTGGTCAGATCACTGTAAGAGTTGGTCATACAGTTTCACAAAGCACAACAGGCGCAAACGAGTAGCACAGCCATACAGCGCCGCTCCAACACCATCGAGACAGCAATGCACATTCATTGGTTGGTATGGAGGCTAAGTGTTGACTAGAATGCTCCTTCAGCATCTAGTCGAATGGTTCCGTCGCTCTAGGCTTCCGCAACCAAACTTCCACTGTTTTCCAAACCAAACATAAAGACGGCAACTCGCTAATAGACCTGATCACACGGAAGTCCGCATGTGCTATCTACGCGACGGCGCACTCCACGATTAACCATTCGCTAAGCTTCCTGTTGTTTTGGCCCCTTATGCACGAAAAGCAATAGGGTGTACTCGATAGACTGCAATTTACTCTGCAGATACCCGCTTCCGCGAGCTTGTACCAGCCTCTTCTTTGACTAGGGCCAAGGGCGCTGAAGTTACGCTCATGCAAGTCCAAGGCCCGACAAGATACGTATCCTGGTAGAGCATGCAGCTTCACGGCGCCAGGCATCAAAAGAGGCCATCATGACCGGTTCTGGAATCAGGCTGGTCCTCGGTTATTCAGCCAAAACTGTGCCGGTCGTATAGCGAGGCTGAGGATTTACGATAACACAGAAGGGCATAGCATAACTGGGGCCAAACCAAGCGGTAGAGTCGGAAAACCTTGTGAAGCCTGTCATTCTATCAATTGGCCATGTAGCACCGAATTCTGGACCATCAGTTGTCAAGTGCGGGGATCTTGGAAGGCTGAGACAGCAAGAAAGAGAAGATTTGGTGGGGTACCTGACGATACAGAGCCGCAACACGCTAACCGCAATCGGTCCCAAGGTCAGCATCTATGAGGCTCAAATACACTTGGCGCATGCATCCCCCTCGCCGTTGTCACACGAAGGGTTGTCGTATTTCAGAACCTTTGCGATTGCGTAGATCGCATTTTCCTGATCGGTATGGGAATGTCGCACCTTGTGACCGCAATTCGACATAACCCCGCAAGATAGCATTGGGCATTCTTCGTTTCAAACTCAGCCTGATGCTATACGAACATGGTAGAGGACGCTAAATGGTCCCGACCCTTGCATCATTTCAGACCTAGTCGTTGGTGGTAGACATCCACCTGCACACACGCTAAGGATGAGGCTCTGCTAATGCTCAGTATTCAAAGGCGTCCATGCTTCCTGCACATTCATCGAGTATTGTCCAGCTGATAAACGCCACCTGTCGTTAGCTCAAATTATCTCCTCTAATCGTACATCCCAAGGCCCTTTTGCTTTTTCTTAGCCCAATTACTCGCATGGAAAGTTGCTCACGTGCCTTCTTCGCCCTGTCCCCGAGCACCTTTCTAGTATCATATCGCTTTTGATGACTACTTCTCTCGATCAACTTCCTTTTGACGTACTCTTTTGCGTTACCCTCAATTTGGATCTTGAAGACATTTTTCACCTTGGTCAAACATGTCGACAATTGAGGGCTTTACTAGACGAAAGGACAGTTTGCAGACGCGCTGTCGAAGTAAGCCGATTTGAAATGCTCGACATGCTTACATACCATGCTGACGCTGCTTATAGATCAACCACCCATACACGGAAGAAGCACTTTCAGCCCGAAACGAGAAAAATACCTACGAGCAAGCCTTCCAGGCTATTTATGAGAGGAGAGATGCCTTGTCAACTGCATACCCTTATTCCGCTCGCGTCTTAGAACAGCAGGGCAGCAGCTTTGTGTATCGTCAAGGGACCATATGTATATTCGATGCTGGGATGGTCTATGTCTCGGATCTCCGCACTAAGCTGAAACCGGTCCATCTTGATCTCTCTGCTATTGTGCGACCTGTTCTAGAGTCAAAGTTCAGAGCATTTGGTAATTTTGGGTTGCGTTTACTTCACTATGCTGATGAAATACTCGCTGTGCACGCCACGCCGAAGTATAGCTCAGACCACAGTCACATAATCGCGATCCACACAGCGGCAAATCTTCCGATTGACCAAAGAGTGATAGAATCGATGCAAGTGGCCAGATGTTCTAAGCTTTTTGCCAGACACAACGCCCGTTATCTATACTACGGCACTCATACTGGAGTAGGAGACGATGGCCACTCTAAATGGGAAATCGACGGTATCTCACTTTGTGAGGACGCTGAGCTAGCGGAACGCGAAAGACCAGTGCTGCTCGACAAGTTCCATGGATCTGACATCGGCTCTACGATCGCGTTCGAAATACATAACGACTACTTCTACGCCGTTTCCAACCAGGGAACCTTTGAAGTCGAAGAGATCGATTATACTTCCTTTTACCACGTGGTCCGGTTTCCACTCAAGTCACCATTGCCAAAAGATATTTCTAAGGATGAGCGCCTGTATCGGCGCCAACACAAACAGGGACCAATCCACGACTCGTGGACCGATCTTACATTGCAGCTTGATGAGCGTACGAATGAGACAGTAATCGTGGAATCACGACGAGAGTGGGCTCAAGCATCTTCTCGTCAATCACGCACGTTCTACGTCACTAAACTGGATTTCAGAGAAGAGGATGATATGGAAGAGTCGTCCGATGAGCCGCTACTGCCTGAGGATGACCTCTACGTGCCCCTCATCGACTCTTCAAACAATGCCCATTGGAAACCCACACCAGACCTCTATAGCTGGAGCCAACACCCTGAGTTTTCTCCTACCGATCCTTCGCCCCGGTCTTTCATCCTTGCGAGAACAAAGTTTAGGGCGTACAATTATGCATGCACTTCCTTCGTCGATCTCGTAGAAGACGAGCGTTGCTGCAACGATCCCTCCCAGCCGCCCTGCCTTAGGCTCAGAATAGGATCAAGACGCGAATTGGGCCTTGACTACTCGGCCACAAGCTGTAAGGGAAAGGCCCCAATCGACGAGATGAAGCCCAACTTCCTGGATACCCAAACACGGTACCGCCATTCACCTATCCGCATGTGGCCCCCTTCAGCATCGCGCTGCCCCTGCTCAAAACGTCTGCATAATATACTCAACCGACCACTACCATCTGCATCTCCATCACATACAAGGAGCATCACCGGTGTGCTCGACGAACAACGCCTGATCTTCATGATCAAGCCGGGACGGTCATATGGTCCCAGCGATGACAACACATTGGGCACCATCGTCGTAGTCGACTTCTCCCGCCCTCTTACATCTACAGCCCATGCACCCTCAGCATCGCAGCCACCATCGTTGTCACGATGCGACAGCAAGATGGACGACGATGTTGGCGTTCATGTTGACGAGTTGGCATGGTATTGGTCCTCCGATTCCAAAGG